AAGAGTGCCAGGATAAGTTTTCTCTCTCCCCGATTACACAGATTATGCACATGCCCATGATCCAGGGCTTGCTGAAGCTGGGGATGGATGGGGTTGTCAGCATCCTGTTGGGGGGTGTTGTCTCTCTTTCAATCTCTCTGTATTTCTCACTCATGGAAGAAATAAATACAGTTGAAATTTTCCTTTAAAAAAGAACCTTCAGGGATGGGAACTATTTTTATTTCAAGCTCCCATGAAAGGACCAATATACCATTGTCCCTAATATCTATACCATTAATATTCTTTGAAGGAGCATAACATGCGTCCAGCAATAATAAGCAAATAATTTAAACCAAACCAACTAGGGAGTAGGCCAGTGCGAATGAGTCAAGAGCTTAAATTATCATATGCTTTTCTAAGAAAACACTGGATTATTTTTTCCTTTTGTTTTAAGTTCCATCTGTAAGTTGGACTTAATAAAAACATTGCTTGAGAAAGGTTCTTAGAAAATGTGTTTAATGAATTGACAAAAATTACTTATTATTGTAATTATTGTTTGTATATATACAATGTCTCAGAATGATTAAAACAGCTTATTTTAATAGTTTAAATGCTGTTCTTGAAATACTGTTTACATTATTTGCTCAATAAACTTTCTATCAATAAAATAAACTTAAAAATACTACAAAGGTTAATACTAGCTCGATTATTTTTATTTTTATGTTTTAAAAATACTATTAAGATATTGTAAAATGGTGTTTATGTACTCCAGTGGCCTGGCTTTGGAATGTTTATTCTGAATTTGTTTCTTCTAGCATACGGGCACCATTTAAGGACACATTCAAACTTTTCATGGGAGGTTGTCCAGAGACCTCCCTCAGTGTGAAAACTCTGCTTTGTTAGTTCACATTAAGAGCATTCTATAGGACTGGGACCAGCAGTTAGTGTAATGGCTATGTCACTGGATTCCCATGTTGTCGACCGCAGTTCGAGTCCTGGATCTGGTGACTTAAACTCATGCCAGGCATGAGTGCATGCGTGCCCAAGATCCCGAGAGGAGACTGGAGGAGAAGGGATTGCAGCGTGGCCATCCTCCTGTGTGTGTGTGTGTGGGGGGGGGGGGGGGGGGAATTTCACGCTT